TTCCCACCATGTGGGAGGGAGAGCAGAGCCCAGGGCACTTGAGAGCTTTGCTGGCCTGGACAGCGATGCAGAGGCTTCCCTGTGATCCAGACCCTCCCTGCCCCCAGCAGGGGCCGACTGTGGTGTGTTTTGCTGTTGATTGATTGGTTAGGAAGGCCTGAGGCCTGGAGGCAGATGTCCCTAAGCGGAGCTGGATAGAACAGTTCATGTAGTGAAGTGACCAACGACACCTGCCCACAGCTGCTCTTCCCCCATTGGGCTGCTGGGAGATAGGGCAGGTCTGGAGATGAGCCTGCGCCTTGCTGGGCCGTCCTCCAACTCACAAGACACTGGCAGGAGACTCCACTGCTGCCCAGCGCCAGGGCTTAGGTGACCCTCGCAAGGTGTCCTTCCAGCACCACCTGTGCCATGCAGGCGTTGTACCTGGCATGTGTCCATGCCCAGGCAGCGGGTCAGGATTTCAGGAGAGATGTATGGTCTGTCTGCCTGCCTTCCCCCCATCCTCTCCTTCCTTTCTAACCTCTTCATTACCCTATTTCACCCTCCTTCTCACTCCCTCTCTTTTCAAGTGTCCCATCTCCTCCTCTCTCTTCCCTGGCCCCTGTCTGCCACCTCCTCCAGCTGCTCAGCAAAGATCTGCGACATTCCGAGGAGGGTCCCTGGCCTGTTGATGGAGACGTAAGGTGAAGTCACAGGGGTCTCCAGGCCCCTCATGCAGTGCCCAGCTCACGCAGGGCGGGGAGTGTTGGGATGCGTGTACGTTGTCCTGCCAGGGACACCGCAGTGGGGGCCCCAGGGCCTGCTGGGGAGGTGTCAGTTCCTGCCAGAAAGACCCACTCCCCTTGAATTCTGCCAGTGCAGAGTTTTGCAGTTTGGTTTTTCACATAACATCTTATTGTCTTTGTCCTTGAAACTTCTGTAAAATATTGACCAGCTGAGGGGTAGTGATGTGGTTACACCATTGTAACTGAGTCTGGATCTGATCTTTGCATATAAATCCTGGACTCGTTTAGGGCTATTTTCCTGGGGACAAATGGACAGCACTAGATTCCGGGTCAGAGGGCATGAGTCCTTTTTTATTTTCAAATGTGTGAATTTTATGTTTAAAATAAGAATATTTACATATAAATCCTGTATCTATAATGTCTTGGTATATGTGTGTAGTGACATTCCCTCTGTTTGGTGTGCAGCCTGAGATTTTACACATTCCTTAGAACGGGAGGCCCCTGGGTCTGACCTTGGAGTGTAGTTAGATTCCATCTGCTTGTGGGGTGTCATAAATTCCAGAGCATGAAAATGTCTAGAAATGTGATGCAGTGTGGCTTGGTGGCCTACACACGGGCAGGGAGTTAGGAAAACTGCATCAGGAGCGTGACATTGGAGGCCACACCTGTCTGGAACTGCATTTCTATCGAGGTCAGATCAGTGCCCCACCCAGTCCGTTCAGGGCAGGCAGCCACAGAGAAGGTGTGCTTGGTGGGTGTCTTCCTTGCAGATGCACAAATCATGACTGGCTCCCTGTTAGGGATTCAGGGCAGGTTGTTGGGCGTGGAGTGACTGCTCTGGAATCCCCTTTCCCCAGGAAGCAGGACACGCCATTTCACACTCTCTTCCTTGACTTGTGGCTCTGAGGCCTTTTCTCTTCATCTCCACCCATTGGGTGCTTTCTCTGGGAGTTATTCCACAGATTTCCCACAATATGGAAGGATCTGGGCTTGGAAAAGCTGTGTGCGCAGTTCTTCTCCCAGTTTTCCCTGCACATGGGCAGAGCACTGGCCCTGGGCGAAGCTGTGGGAGGGTGGTTCCTCCTTGTGTCCAGAATAGAATATTCTAAACTCGCTGCGTTGGAGACCCCTTTCAGGGGTAGTACCTACCAAAACGCCTTTGAGTTCTACAGGACGTGTCTATGAAAATGCTATTAAAAGGCAAAGGAATGACTGATTCCAAGAAAGAAAGTGAGGATGTCAGGTCAGTTCTTGCCTTATTATGGATTTTTCAGAAGTGTACTGGCACTGGAGAGATGCTGGAGTTTGGACCCCTGTGGTCCCAGCGTGCAGTATCTGGGGGTAGTGCAGCAGGGGAGGGTTTGGACCCAACTCCACTGCCTGACTCAGGAGTGCAGAGCAGGCTGGGCAGATCACTGGCGTGCAGTGCGTCAAACACCCCTTTCAGGCTGAGCCTGGGAAGCCCGTAATTAAGTGTGACAAGGGAGGTGCTGCCTGCAGAAGCCGGGTTTGAAACCTTGCTCCGACAGCTAAGGACTTGTGTTTTCCTGCTTTCTGTGCCAGGAAGCTTGGCCGCCAGCTTGCCTGTGCTTTCCGGGCATGCAGAGCCAGGCCTTTGCTTTCCCTTGGTCCTGGAGTAGCCTCCAGGGTGCTTGGTGGGTCTCTTCCTTGCAGATGCACAAATCATGGCTGGCTCCATGTTAGGGATTCAGGACAGGTTGTTGGGCGTGGAGTGAATGCTCTGGAATCCCCTTTCTCCAGGAAGCAGGACACGCCATTTCACACTCTCTTCCTTGACTTGTGGCTCTGAGGCCTTTTCTCTTCATCTCCACCCATTCATTTTCCAAGAACCAGTTTAGGTATCCATCCATCCATCCTGCCATCCTGCCTGCCATCTACCCATTCATCCATCCTGCCTATAATCTATCCATCTATCCATCCTTCAATGTTTCCATCCATCCATCTGTCCATTTGTCCACCATCTGTCCATCCGTCATCATCTGTCCATCCATCCACCCATCCACCCACCCATCTGGCCAAGCGGGTCCAAGGTCTTGAAGGTGAAGCGGTGAAGAAGCAAGAGTCCCTTCCCTCATGGAGCTAAGTCTAGTGAGAGCATCTGTAGGGAGAAGAGAACTCTAGGTGGTGCCAACCACTTCCGTTCACCCATGCTTGGTCCCTTGTGTGGTTGTGCCTTGCACATCCCCCGGTGGCACATCACAGCTTGGAATCCAGTGGAAAGAGCCACATGGTAGCCAGACAGGTACATATGTAGTATGTCATATTACTGTGATGAGTGCTGTGCAAACACGAGGGGTGAGGGGCAGGGCAGCTGGTGGGCAGGCGAGGGGAGGGCTCTCAGATGAGTGACCCTGAGCAGAGCCATGCCGGAATAGATAGTGGGAGGGCAGACTAATTGGGGTCTTGCTGACCTTGGCTTTCACACTGAGGAAAATATAACACTGAGACCAGAACCCACCTGGGAGTTCTGGCTGCAGACTGTTTCTTCTCAGAAAGTTTCCCCGTTGCTTAGTCTGGCTTGACCTCTTCTGGGCTTGCAGAGCATCTCTGCCTGCCTCTCACGGTAGATGCCAGGGGACCATTGGGACCACTGGACCGTGGCCTCTGGGACCCTCTGTAGTGCATTTTCTCAGCTTCCTGAGGGGTCCTGGTGGAATTGAGCCCGGTTGTCCCTTTATCATGTTTTTGTGGCAAGCTCTGCTTCGGGTGGTGGGGGGAACCTCTCATTCCCGGCAGAAGTGGTTGCACTGAATTCTTAACATTTACTGGCTCTCTCCCCACACAAGGGATGGGGGCCTTGAGAGCAACTTGAAGATAATGAAAATAGAAAATAACCACACTGGAAAAATTTAAGCTCCAAAAAAAATGGAAATTAACAAATATTAATGATAAGCAAAGGCACTTGGTGTTCCCATACCTGGCAAATTGGGCAGTACTCTTGGGGAAGCAGTTCAGTCACATTTATCAGGGGCCGTAAATAAGGTTTGTGCTGTTGGACTCAGTTGTTAAGCTTCTGAGAATTTGGCCTGACACAGCATCCTAACCACGGAAAAGTTGTGCACAAGGAGGTTTGGTGCAGCTGACTGCCTCGCTGTGGAAAACAGAAAATAACTGAAGGGCCAAACAGTGGGGCCATAACTAACTTATCACGTAGCCATGCGATGTGGTGTTTGGCAGACTTTTAAAAATTGTGGTAATGAAGACCATGCCCTAACTTGGGATGTGCTTATGGTAAAATCCAAAAGGATGGAGCTCTGTTCTTTTCTGTTCTTGGACTCTCTGCCTCTGGCCTGGCCGGTCACTCGACATTCCTGGCCGCCCCCCTTTTCAGCCCTTTGTTTGGTTCAGCCGGTCTTATTTAGTAGGTTTTAGCTTGCCCTACCTGCACCCCCAGGTAAGCATGACGGCCCCTCACTCTGTTCCTGCCCTTCCCCTCCTGGGCCACCTTCTATCCCATGACTCTCATCGGCCAGGCTCAGGGAGCAGATCCCAACTCTGCCTGGTTTCCCGTGGCTCCCAGGGCCTGGGCCAGGAGTGATCACTGCCTGGATGAGTGTGTGTATGTGTGTCCTAGAGTCACGGCTTTGGAACAGACAGGAGGACAAAGAAGACAAGCGTCCGAGTGACCTGGTGCATGTGCAGGAGGGGCAGGGTTCGTTGCACAGTCTTTTCATTATCTGCACAGTGTCTCTGAGTTGATCACCGTCATATTCAGAAATGCCTTAAGAAGTTCCTGACCTATAAATGACGCTGTGTCTTCAACTAGTGAATGACATTTAGAAGGGAGGAGACAGCAGAGACCCACAGGGCAAGTGCACCGTGGGGACTTGGTGTGCATCCCAGTGACACAGACATTTCTGAGACAATCCAGTAAAACCGCATGTGGTGTGTCCTGGGCGGAGATGAAGGAGGAGGTGGATGGGGTTAGCTGGAGTAGTGGGCTGTGGTGAGGGCTCCTTAGGAGGCCCTTCCTGGTTGGAGAAGGTACTGAAGTATCTAAAGGAGGAATGATCCCATGTTTGGGTTTTGTTTTGAAATACTTCTGGGGAAAATGCAAAGCATTGAGGAGGGAAGGAGGTGGGGTGAGAAGATGGAGCATTGGTGGAGGAGGGTTGAAGTGGGGGGGTTTGGGGGGGTTTCAGTGCCCTTCCTTTACCTTTGAAGATATTTGAGAGTTTTATTGTTAAAAGTTGAAAGAAAACCATTCCCCTGACTTTCCCCCAGTGACACTTAAAACTCTGCTTTGCTTTTCAGAGTGACCGACTCCTCATCAAAGGTGGACGGATCGTCAACGAGGACCAGTCCTTTTATGCCGATGTCTACTTGGAAGACGGGCTCATAAAGTGGGTTGAGCAGGACACACCTAAGAATCTGTTCCTCCAGGTGGCCTGGCCTTGCTGGTGTTCTGCCAGAGTGGCCGTGCTGTGCTCCTGTATTTCAGAGCTCCAGACTGGGGACGTCAGACTGGGTGGAGCAGGGGCCGGGGTGAGCTAGAGCAGGGACCGGGTGTGCTGGGGGACCCTCCGTTGTCCCAGGCTTGCTGATACTCCTCAGGGTGCCTATTGCCTTTAATGCTCACACTCAGGCTGTGAAATGCAGATGTAGTGTTTTTGGGGTATTTTTAAAGATTTTTTGTTGTTGTTATAGTTGGACCCAATGCCTTTATTTATTTATTTATATGTGGTGCTGAGGATCGAACCCAGGGCCTCACACATGCTAGGCGAGCGCTCTACCGCTGAGCCCCAACCCGAGCCCAGGTGTAGTGTTTTATATTAGGGGCATGAGGGGCCAGTGGGGCTAAGCACTGAGCCCAGTTGCAGGGTGGGCTGGGGACAGGGCCTGTGTCCCCCCCAAGAGCCCCTGGCTGAGCACAGCCCTGCCTTCCACCTGCCTGCCGTTCCTGGGGTTCGTTGAGGGGATCAGGGGAGAAGTGGGCCTCCATGGGGACCTTGGCTGGCTCTCAGAAGAGTCCTCTCTGCCGTTTCCCTACTGTCTCCCTGTGGGCTCCCTTTCAGCCTGCCATTGCTGACCCCAGGGTAGGAGCCCCCTGGGACACTGTGACTCAGTGATGCAGGCCGGGTGACTTCAACAACAGGAACTCACAGTGTGGAGCCTGGAAGCCCTGGTCAGTGCCCGCAGGGATGGTCCCTCCTGGGCCTCACTCCCTGCTGGCCTGGGGCCTCCTTCTCACTGTCCTCAGATGGCCTTTCTTTGTGCTGCCCAGGTGTCTCCCTCCTTATCAGGATACTGGTTCTGTTGGGTTAGGGATGCACCTTGATGACCCATTTAGGCTTAATTATCTTCTTGAAGCCTCATCTCCAAAAGTCACAGGGGGTGGGTGGGGGGTGTTGGGGCTTTGGCGTGGTTTGGGGACAGTTCCGCCCATAACGCCAGGCAGTGGTTTCTCCGTGGCCTCCAGCATTTTACTGGCTGGTGATGGGGACGTGGCCTGGACTCATGGCCTCTTCCCTGGGCATCTAGAAGAGCAGAGGAGGAGACTGTCTGCGACCGGCTTGGGCTGTTGGTGCAGGAAGGAGAGTGCAGGGGGCTGGGGGCACGGGGAGGTCAGACAGGATGCAGACTTGGTAACAAGCCAGCCTGCCGGGGAGGGGGGCACATGCTGTGATGGGGGTGGGGGTAAAGGAAGCCGGGGTTAGTGGGTGCATCGTGCCCCCTGAAAGTTCAGAGTCTCTGCCTCCCCATCCCCTGCTGTAGTTCTGGACAGCGGCCTCCTCCCTGCCATCTCCCCCCACCCCCAGCTCACTCTTGTGTGCACGGCCAGCTCACTCCCACTTGGGAGCTGTGCACCCCAGCCCCTCCGTGGAACGCCTGTCCCCGCATTGCCAGCTCCACGTGATGTCTCCTCAGGGCACTTCCCTGCCCGGGGATGGCCTGGCTGCATTCCCCCTTCCCTGTGGCCATGAGCTGCCATCTGTCACAGCCTCCCTCACGTGGTGTCTGTCCCTTGGCCAGGGCAGTAAGGCCTCCCCACTCTGGAGCATGGCCTGGTCCATTGTAGGTGCCCCAGAGTGCTGACGAGGAAAAGCAAAGTGAATCTGGACCCCCAGGTCAAGGTGAGGGTTGTTTGGAGCCCCAGAGCACCCATGCAGTGTGGTTGGGTAAGTCCAGAGCAGGAGGTCTTCTTCTGCACTGCTGCTTAGATCAGAGGAAGCCGCCCAGGCTGGGGCCCCTTGGCCTCCAGGGCTTCAAGGCCTGAGGGCAAAGTCACCAGGGAGCTGCTGATGGGGTAGCCATTTGGCCACCTGCTGCTTGAGGTTGGAGCTGGTCACTTGTGCTTCCATCCTTTTGGGGACCTGTGGAGCCCAGTGGTCATGGGCTGAGCTGCGTTTCTTGAGTGCTTGCTGTATGCAGGAGCACCTGGAGCCTTAGGACTTTGGCTGGCCAGGCTGTTTGGGAAACAGGCAGTTCTGTAAATTCAGTATCTGTCCAGTCCTCTGACTCAGAACCCTATTTTGCTTGCACCCCAGTGCTAAAGGCCTCTCTGAGCTTTGGTATTCCTCTTCCTGCTCTGTGAAGCAGAGAGGGTGACCATGACTGAGTGCCTTGCAGGACTTAGGGGGTCCTTTCTAGCATGCAGCCTACTGGCTGAGAAGAGTAGGGCTGGAGTGGCCTGTGCTGACCCAGGCATACAGAGGCTCAGTTTTTGTTTACTTTAGTAAACACCAAGAGTCCTTCTGTTTGAGACCCTTGGCGGAGTTTTCTAAGAGCCATTCAGCTATTAGGGTGCAGTGAGCTGTGATTCATGGAGGATTCTGCCTGGTTCACTGAGCATGGTGATTCAGATGCTGGTCACGCAGGGTTTCCTCCTGCCACAGCGGTGGCACGTCTGAGGCGAGCTGAGCTTCCTCTGTCCTCCTTTTCTGGACTTGTTGCTGGTGTGTGCCATTGACTGCGTCTTCCTCCTGACTCACGGGGTCCCCATCAGTTCAGGCCCCGTCTGAGGGGAATGTGCTGCTCCTGTGTCGGGGAGGCAGTCAGCCGGGGCAGGTCCTGTTCTTAGACCTGGGGCCTCCCAGGCCCACCTGGACTTGCTGTGTGACCTTGGACCAGTCTAGGTGCCTGTCTCAGATCTGCGCCCCCTTTGGCCCAGTGGACCTCCTCCCTTGTGGGGATGTTGGTGGGAGACTGGAGAGGTTGGTGGAGGTACGACAGGGCCCCTCACCGGGACCTTGGCGTGGTGACCGAGTCACAGGCGCCATTCACACCGGGCTGTCTCTGGGGCAGTGGCGTGTAGGACTGAGCCTCAGGTCTGCTGCCCCTGCTGACTTACTGAGTGGCCCTGCACCTTTGCAGTTAGCATTGGGTACATTACCTGTCTTCTTTAGAAGTTAGCTGGGAGCCCAGGTGACATCATGGGTGAGTGCTTAGAGGAGTCTCCACTCCCCAGCAGGCCTCCAGGAAGGGCAGCTGCTCTCTGTTAGGGTCAGTGTCCTCCAGAGGCCCTTTCCTTCGGCTCCTGGCACCAGCCCACGTGTTTGGAGAGGGTGGCAGAAGGACCCAGAGTTTCCATGCACTCAAGCCAGCTGTGCAGGGGAGGGTTGGTAGTTGGGGGCGGTGGCACCTGCGGTGGAGCTGGTGGGACAGTTTCCTGGGTGCTCCCCTTGAGCCTGGCTTTGTGCTTTGCTGGGTTCTTTCCAGCTCAGGGAGACCAGGATGTGCCCAGCTCTGCGAGGAGCCGTGGCTGGAGCCCTCTCTCTGCCCCGCCAGCCCAGACCAGCCTTGCCCAGGCTCCTGTAGGGCCAGGGCTGCTGCTTTTGCCCATGAGGTGAATTCTGTTCTGGGCTTGATCCTTTGGTCACTGCAGCAGTATTTTCTTAAGCCTGATGACTGGTGTTTTTATGTGATGGCCTGATCCCAAGAGTTCAGAATACCTGGATTTTATTTTTGCAAACAAAAATTCAGATCTCAGATCTCAGCCAGTTGGTAGCCTTGGAAGCCCTGGGGTCTCTGGCCTGGTTCTGGCTCAGAATCTGCTGGTGCCCTGGCATCTCCTTTCTCTGGTTCCAACAAATAGAACAGGCATCACTGGGTGTCATAAGTCTCCGCGGGGCTCGCAGGGCTCACGGGGCCAGGCAGTCGATTGTCTGGGACCTTCCTCCTGCAGGAAGTTTCACAGCAGGGAAGAGAAGTGACCTCAGCCTGCCTGGAAACACTGGCCTCCCCTCCATAGTCCCTCGCTGTGGTGTTTAAGGTGACCTCAGTTTTGTCTTACATGCCCAGAGGGCTTGAGTAGCTTTCCTGAGGCCCTTGCTCCTCCAGTTCTGCTGAAATGAGAAGCCAGGGGCCGTGTGCTTGGCCGCTCAGGCTACCATGAAAGGCCCCGGACGGGCGGCTTCAACAACAGGAATCTATTTCTCACAAATAATTGAGAGGCTGCGAGTCCAGGTGTTGGCAGGGCTGGCTCCTCCTGAGGGCTCTCCTTGGCCTGCAAATGGCATGTCTCCCTGGGTCCTTAGGCAGTCCTCTGTGTGTGTCTGTGTCCTGATCTCCTAGGGACACCAGATGGATCGGATTAGGGCTCACCCCAATGACCTCATTTTACTTAATCACCTCTGCAAGGGTCCTGTCTCCGAGTACAGTCAGTCACTCTCTGAGTTGCTGGGGCTGGGGCTTCCTGTGGATTCGGGGGATGCAACTCGGCCCCCATCAGTGTCCCTGAAAGCTCATAAAGCCAAGGGGACTTTTCACAGTCTTGCTAGGTGATGCTCCACTCTGCACCCCCATTGCCCAAAGCCGACCACTCCCCTGAGAGACTGGCTGTTCAGACAGCCCAGCATCCCGTGATGGAGAGGCTGGCTCTGCCTGGTTGGACCCAGTCCTCCGTCCCCCTGAGAAGCCTTCCTGGAGAACCAGCCAGGTGAAACAGCTCCCTGTGCCCCCGGCCCTCTGCCCTGCCGCATTCCAACAAGGTGCTTACATTCGAGTGTGCTCCCCTGGAGGGCAGGCCCTGCCTGAGTGCCCTCCACCCACCTGCGGCCCTGGGTGACCTGGCTCAGGTGTGTTTACTTAGTGGGCCTGAAGCTGCTAAGCTGACTGCCCAGTTTGCTTTTAAGAACCAAGGTCCCCTCTGTTGTTTGTCTCCAGGCAAATAGGAGAGAACCTGATTGTTCCTGGTGGAGTGAAGACCATCGAGGCCAATGGGCGGATGGTCATTCCCGGAGGGATCGATGTCAACACCTATCTGCAGAAGCCCTGCCAGGGGATGACGGCGGCCGATGACTTCTTCCAGGGCACCAGAGCAGCGCTGGTGGGCGGGACCACTATGATCAGTGAGTTGCAGGCCCTGTCCCCCGAGGGCGGCTGGGGGTTCTCCATCACCATGGGCAGCAGCACCCTGGGGCCCAGTGCAGACCAGTCACTGAGCTCAGGGCCATTTCATCTCCTTCTCACTGTGGTCCCCCAACGCAGCTCAGTGTCTACAAAGCAATACAGACAGTAAAACTTTCAGAACCCATTTTGGAATGTATTGAAATAAAATTACTGGCGCATCCTGGTTATTATCATTGCCTAGACTGAGATTGAAATTGGTGTTTAGATGCTTAGAAGATAAACAGATTTAAAGGTATCACATAAAGAATGATATCCCGAAGTGTGAGGATGGCCAGAGTTTTGGAAACCGTGACATGGGTGTTATAATGATGGAGGATGGAGGCTCGGAGAGTGGAGGTAATTTGCCCCAGTTTACATAGCTAGGAAGAGGGCGTGTCGGTCAGTATTGCTGAAAATAATGCTGTGATAGTGCTGCGTAACAGTCTGCCTATTAAATGTTTTCCATTGCCATAGCAAGATACCCCGGGTAGGTACTTTATAAAGAAAAGAGGCTTGTGTAGCTCACAGTGTGGGAGGCTGAAAATCTGAGATTGGATGAGACACTTGATTCAGTCTCTGGTGAGGGTCCCCCTGGTTGAGTCGCAATGACTAGCATCGATTCCTTCTGAGCATGTGCCTCCAGTGGCCTAATCACCTTCCAGCAGTCCCCACCTCTTAGAGGTCCTGCCACTTCCCAACACGGTCACCCTGAGATTCGAGCTTCCAACACACAGACCCTTGGGGACATAGGCAGGCCATCTCCAAACCACAGCAGCCCTGAGTCTTGAGCAGCACCCTTCCCGTGGCCGTCGGCGGTGTGCACGAGGGTCTGGCAGAGACCTGCCTCCCTCCTGCCACCTCGTCTCTTTGCTCACACCCCAGTGTCCGCCCATGTTCTGTGACTGGTGTGAGCCACGTGGCCAAGCCCAGTCACTGGGAGTACCCTCTGCCCTCAGTGAACCACGGTGGGCATGGAGACTCACGGACAGATGGTACCACCCGGCCTCCGTGGCCTGTGTGGGGAGCCGGCCTCCTCCTCTGTCTCCCTGGCAGCCTGGTTTTGTTCTGTTTTGCTTGAGAAGCTGCCTCTGCTGGGGTCCCACCTTGGGAAATGACTAAGCAGGCGGCAGTGGATTATATGTGTTCTTTAACTGTCACGCTGTGCGATTGCCGCGGCTGTCCTGAACTGGCTGGACCCTACCGTCTCCTCTCTCCCAGGTGACCCTTGGCAGCACCCTCCATGGCTGCACTAGCCACAGAGGAGGGCCGGCTCAGGGCACAGACAAGCAAAGTCCTGATCCCTTTCCAACAGGTGGCACTTGCACCTGCTGGGGGACAGTGGGAGGAGCCAGGCCTTGGCCCTGGACAGACTTGGACTTGTTGCCCCCCCGCTGTAGGAGCGAGGCCTGTCCTCAGCCTGGTCTGCAGCATGGGCCTCATGATTGAACCCCTAAAGGTGTTGGGGAGACATAGGTGAGATCCTGTAGTATAGTGCAGAGCCCTGGGCTAGGGGCCAGGATCCCTGGGGTCCCCCTTGCTCTTCCCCCATCACCCACTGTGACATCCTGGGGGAGCCCTGAATCTGGGGTCCTCCCCTGACACCCTTGAAGGCGGTTTGCTGTGTGCTTCAAGGGCCTCGAGTGTGCCCAAGGGCCGTGAGGACACAGAGGGCCATAGGGGACGGGCGGGCCCCCAGCCCCACCCTGTTTCTTCAGCAGATGCTCATGGGAGGCGCTGAAGGCCAGGCTGTGGGGCGGATGGACAGCTGCAGGACTGAGGCTTGTCCTCCAGGGGCTGGCCCTGTCAGGAACCCCTGCTCAGCCACATGGGACTGTTAATGGTGACTACGCTGCGAAAAAAAGGGACATAGAACCTGAACGGGGCTGGGGCTCCGAGACGGCTGCCCTGAAGAAGCCACATCCCGGCCGGGGTCTGAAGATGGCGGGGTCGATGGGGGGGTGGGAGGGGAGCAGATCGCTGGGAGGAGGAAGGGCGCACAGAGTCCTGGGGGGCACAGCTCTCACAGTGGAGATGAGGGAAGGCCCTCTGCACCCCGCAGAGACGGAGGGACAGGACTGCAAGGAAGACCTGAGGAGGGATGGGGACAGTGCTGAGCCTCATGGGAGAATTTCGTGCGGTTTCCTCTGCAGCTTTGGAAGGATCCCGCAGGTAGTGGTGTGATCAGATTGGCCAGGAAGTGCCCACAGCAGTTTGCCGATACACAAGGGTGGCTTGGCCGAGGTGGTGGACGGCAGTGGGCTGGTCCAGGGGCACATGGGCAGCGTCAGCAGTATCATCATGGGGTGGACATGGGGATGGGAGGGAGGGAGGTGGCGGGACGAGCCCTCACCCTGTGGCCGAAGGACCCTGAGATGCTACATCCCTGTGTCGCCCACGGCCGGGGTCGGGTGGGCGGCACTGCAGGAGGTCTGGGGCACTTTGGTTTTGAGTCACCCTGTGGGTGGCCAGGGCACAGCGGGCACAGAGTTCCACAGCTCCGAGGAAGTGGAGTTTGCGTGAGGGGTGTGTGGAGAGGTTCTGGGACCAGCCTGGGGTGTGATCACTAAGGCGCGAGCAGAGGGGGGGGTCTGAGGAGACGCAGAGGAGAGGCCAGGAAGAGCAGAGGTTGTGCCAGCATGGGGACAGAGGAGAGTGAGGTGAGGAGAAGGGGTGGCGCTCCGTGACCCGAGGACAGAGAGGCTCGGGTTCCCTCAGGCCTGGGTCGCCAAGGCCCAACCAGCATGTGATGCCTCCGATGGGAGGGAGGCAGGAGGGAGCAGAGGCTGCTGTCTGTGGCCATCTTCATGACGTCCCGCCGGGCGAGGGGCCGGCTGTGTGCAGAGAGAAGCAGGCCATAGCCAGAGCGGCAGGGGAGGTCAGCCGAGGTTGAAGACACGCCTTTTTGAGCTACTTTAGGTTTTAGATGTTATTTGAAAAAGAGGGACAAGGTTGCCTTTCCTTTGCCCTTAGAGACCTTTGACCTTGACGTTCTGGGCCAAGGCTGCTGAGTGGAGAGATCAGAAGTCTGTCAGGTCTCCGAGAGGCTCCTCCTACCTCTGGCCAGTTATGGGACCTTGGATAAGCCCTTGGCCCCCTTTGAGCCTCAGTTTTTCCTTCCTCCCTTCCTTCCTTCTGGGGATTGAACCCAGGGTGCTTTACCACTGAGCCACATCCTATTTTATATTTTCTTATTTTGAGACAGGGTCTTGCTAAGTTGCCTAGGATCTTGCTAAGTAGCCGAGGCTGGTCTTGAACTTGCAATTCTCCTGCCTCAGCCTCCTGAGTTGCATGAGCCACTGCACCTGGCCCAAATGGGGTTGTTACCCTTCACTCCTTAGGATGACCGTGAGGCTTAAGCAAGGTGTTCATAAATCCTTTGTGCTGCTGTCGTGCATGTAGTGAGCATTGGATGGATGGTGGTGATGGCGGTGGTGGTCACGATGGTGGTGCAGCCTAAAGGTGGGGGTGAAGATGCCATTGGTGAAGGTTGTGCAATGATGGTGACAGTGACAGCACTGACCATAATGAGGATGGGATGATAATCATGGAGATGGGGTGGCATTGATGGGGATGATGGGGGGTGATGGAGGTGATGGTGGTCATGGTAACAGTGGTGGGGTGATGCTGAGGGGGTGGTGGGGTGATGGTGGTTATGTAAACAATGGTGGGGTGATGTTGATGGGGTGGTGGGGGTGATGGAGGTGATGGTGGTCATGGTAACTAACAGTGGAGAGGTGATGCTGATGGGTTGATGGGGTGATGGAGGTGGTGGTGGTCATGGTAACAGTGGTGAGGTGATGCTGATGGGTTGATGGGGTGATGGAGGTGGTGGTAGTCATGGTAACAGTGGTGGGGTGATGCTGATGGGGTGTGGGGTGGTGATGGAGGTGATGCAGATGGGAGAATGTGGGTCCTAAGCGTCATGACACACTTTTCTCTGTCCCAGTTGACCATGTTGTTCCTGAACCCGGGTCCAGCCTGCTGACTTCCTTTGAGAAGTGGCATGAAGCGGCCGACACCAAGTCCTGCTGTGACTACTCCCTCCATGTGGACATCACAAGCTGGTACGATGGTATTCGGGAGGAGCTGGAGGTGCTGGTTCAGGACAAAGGTCAGTTAAAGCCCCAGAACGGGGCTCTGGAATCCCTGGTTTCTTGGTGGATCCAGGGGAAACGTGGAGCTAAAACCCTTTCTCCACATCTGCTGTGACTCCCGTCATGAACTGCACGCTGCCGCCGGGACAGTGGGCAGGCTGTCCCCAGGCCCAGTTTCTGTGGCTTGGCAGGCAAGGGCCATGACCCATCCTGGGTGCCACCCCTGCACTACGACCAGGCACTGCTGGGCCTTTGCTCGAGCTGTTCCCCTGCGAGGAGTGTCCTTCTCTCTGCCTGTAACATGCTCCCCTCCTTCCTGCCCCAGCTCCGCAGTCACCTCCACACATCTCCATCAGAACTGCTGCCTTCCTCCAAAGCGGGTCCCTGGGTCTCCTGGGGGCATGTTGGTTTTCTGTCTGGCTCTTCTGAGAGCCCCTGAGCTCTGCGAGGCGTGTGTGTCCCCCGTGACTCCCTCTGTGGGGTTGCACTCTGACAGGGTATGGAGGGGAGGCAGTTGCACAGACAGGAAGTGAGGAGCAGGCGGAGGAGAGCCCAGCCTGGAGGGGGCAGCCCGGGTGGAGGGGCTTCGAGGAGTGTGGAGGGGTGTGCCGTGTGTTCTCGTGAAGGCACGGTCACTCAGCACATCGGCCATGGGGAAGTCAGGAGGAGGAAAGCGGCGTGTGCGCTCTCTGCCTCCTCCGGGTGTCCCAGGTGGGGCTCCTCCTTCCCGGCCCGCGGCTTCCCAGCGTTCCTTGCCTGCTCCAGCCTTGGTCTTGGGGTCTCTCTCTTCTTCTCACGTGGGGTCTTAGGAGCAGAGTTGCTCTGCATCAGCGACTTTCTAATGACCCTCATGTGGAACACAGTGACTACTTTGCTTAGCTACTTTCTTTAGATTAGGCCTTTAGTTTCCCTTGGGTTTATTATGGATTGTTACGGTGGACGTCTTCATTTCTTAGCATGTATTTGAATTTCTAATTATTTTCTTGGATTCTTAGAAGTGGAAATCACAAAGTCAAAAGTTTTGTCACCTTTGAGATCATGACCCTTCTGGCCAGGTGGACCACCTGCACAGTGTGCCCACCCACACTCCCCTGGCCCCGCGTGTCTGCCCGGGTGTCTGCCTGCGTGTCTGCGGAGTCCCTGCTGCTGGTGGCTGCAGGGTGCGGCTTCTGAGGTCTTCCGCACACTCTTTCGTCACTATTTGCACTTTCTGTGTGTGAGACCCCTCGTGTCCTTCTGTGATGCCATGTGACCTTCTGTCCAGAGGGCGTTGTCCCTCCCTGTGGTTGCTGTGACCCCCATGGTGACCACGCAGAATCGAAATCCAAGCACGTTCACGTGTCCTGTCTTGCTTTCCTCACCTAACCTGAGGTCCTGAGCAGTTTCCCACGTCACCCCCATGGACATCACCACGCCAGTTTCTACTGCCTGGCCGTAGATGTGCTGTGGAGGGACAGGAGGAGTGTGGAGAGGGCTGGGCGGGATCCCTGGGGCATGTCACTGTGGGGAACGGTGCCACGCTCCACTCGGGCAGGGACATCTGTTGGGCTCCTGGTATTTGTGGCGTTGCCCTCTGGACTTGCAGAGAGGCGTTTTCTTCCCCTGGGTGGTACCCTCAAGGAGGAGCCCTGATGGGTCCCCAGGTGCCCTCCAGGTGTGTGAGTGTCTCAGAGTGTTGCAGTGCTTTCTGTAGATCTCGGTCTCAGCATTCGTACTTGCTCATCGAAACAACGTGGAAGTGTCTAAAATTAAAAGTGATAATTTGGAATTTGACTTTCTAGAGTTTCCATATTTATATATAGAGATACAAAGAGTTTTGAATTATACATATACTACTTGCATATGTATAGACACTGTATATATAGTTTTTATATAAACGGAACTCTAATATGCATTATATTCTGCACTATGTTTTTTTTTTTCCTTACTCAATAAAATATGGAGAGCCATCCCCCACCACTCAGGACCTGTCTCGCCTGGGCCACTCATTCAAGTGTCCCACTTCCCCTGTGAGTACACTGAGGCAATTAAAAGGTTGTTTTGAAGGTGAAATGAGAGGACATGTGACAGGTGCCTAGATCGGGCTGGCCCAGGTAAGGGCTTTGTGTCATGGGTCGTGACTTTCACTGTCATTCCGGGCAGTGTGTGTTTCTCTAGACCTCCAGGGTGTTCCATGTTAAGGAGGAGCATATTGGACTGTTGCCTCTTGGTGAATTTAGAAAACTTGTGTCTTCAGGGCTCTGGGGACAGGAAACACTGAGGCTGAGGTGAGTCTGCAGCACAGGAGTATGTATTAGTTTTGTTTTGCTACTACAACAAAGCCACACACTTTAAACAACATGCAGGTGTGATCTTACAGTTTTGGAGGTCTTCCAGGTCTAATGCCAAGGTGTGGGCAGGGCTGTTGCATTCCTTCAGACAGCATCACCAACCATAGGCCCCCCGAAAATCAGGATTGGGAGGATTTTTGCCTTCTCTAGTTCTGGCACGAAGCCCAGTTCCCATGTCCACCACCTCACCTGCTCAGCATTCAAGATCTATCCCCTTGGCAACTCTATAGTACATAATACATTATCCACTATGGTCCCACGCTGGGTGACAGACCTCCAGAATTGATGCTTCCTGTCTGAGGTTCTGTGTCCTTTGACCAAAATCTCACCATTTTACCCCAGTTCCTGGCAAAACTGTTCTCTGTAACTGCTGCAAGGTCACCTGAGGGTGTGGTCTGTGGGCTTGTCTCTCTGTGCCTGGTTTACTTCATTTAACATAGTGACGTCTAGTTCCATCCGTGCTGTCCCAAAGGGCAGGGTTTCCCTTTCCGTCAAGGCTGAACAGCGCTCTGTTGTGTGTCTGTGCGTCTTTGTCCACCATTCTGGACACCTGGTGTTTTAGTCAGCTTTTTCACTGCTGTGGCTAAAAGACCTGGCCAGAACAGTTGTAGAGGAAGAAAAGTTTATTTGGGGGCTCACAATTCAGTCCACAGACTGGGCTCCATTCCTCAGGCTGGGGTGAGGCAGAACACCGTGGTGGAATTGTGTGGTGGAGGGAAGCAGCCTGCGTGTGGATCAGGAAACTAGACTCTCCAGACACAAAATACATACCCCAAGGGCACCCCAGTTCCTCCCCGTCCAGCCACACCCCACCGCCCGCAGTTTCCACTCAGTTAATACCATCAGGAAATAACCCACTGATTGGGTGAAGGCTCTCACAACCCGATCATTTCTTCTCTAAACCTTCTTGTGTTGTCTCACCCATAAGTTTTGGGGGACACGTCACATCCAAACCATAACATTCCTCCCCTGCCCCCAGAAGCTCATGACCCTCACAATGCAGAGTACCTTTGGTCCATTTCCAAGAGGAGTGCCCAAAGTTCAAGTCCAGAGTCTCCTCTGAGACCCAGGGCACGCTCACATCACGAGCTCTTGTCAAGTCAAAAGTGATTTACAAGGATCCAGTACATAAAGGTACCGGCTAAACATTTCCATTCAGAAACACAGGGGCACAGAAAGAAGGGACGGGGCCCAAGCAAGACTGGAATCCAGCTGGGCAACAGGTCCTGCAGTTCTGTGTCCAGCATCTGGAGCACAGGGCATGGTGAGGTTCTGCCCAGGGGCCGTGTGGCTCCATGCCTGTGGATGGTGCCATCATGAGGTGGCCATGAGCTTCTGTTGGCAGCCCAGGTGGCCTTCTGTGGGCTTGTCTGCTCGGCTCCTGCAGCTTTGCCTTCCTCCTCACATCTCCACCCACTGCCCTCCCAGGGGGTGGCTGCCGGGCTCTGACCCTGCTGCACTCTGCCTGGCCTCCCAGGCCTTCCTTTGAGATCCCAGGCCGCCCTGACCCCTCACTCCAGCACCCTGCTCTCCTGCAGAACCTGCACCCTGTGGTCGATGCCCAGGTCTCTGCCATCTCAGCAGTAGCCAAGCCTCCAGGGACCCCGGCTGCCGCCGCCTGAGTGCCTGGTAGCTGAGCATGTGGGAAGACCTTCCTAGGGGCTCTGTGAGTAGAGGGCTCCCCTCGCGTGCACAAGGCCCAGGGTGCAGTCCCCAGCACCACACACACACACCCACACACACACACACACGACTTCCCAGGCCTCCTTGTGCATGGATTCCCCACTCATTTCTTCTCAAGAGAATTTGCACTTTTACTCCCTTGAGTCTGAGAGGGATGTGATCTTGCCCATTCCTGAGATGCCTTCAAGCCATCTGCTTTATTGTCTCTGGGCAAAATCTCTGGCACTTCTTTCGTTTGGGTAAAGTCTTTAACAAGTGCAGCTTCCTTAGCCCCAGTTTTACTCCCACCTTTCAAGTCCTGATTTTTCAGATCTTTCTGTTCTGCTTTCTGCTCCTGAAGAAAAGCCACCAGCAATACCCAAGCCACTGCCTGGACGCTCTGCTGCCTAGAAATGTCTTCTGCCAGACTAAGAAGTCCATCACCTTTAAAATTAACCCAAAGAAAGTCTCAGGACACAGGCAAAATTCAGACGACTTCTCAGCCAGAACATGCCCCAGGTGGCCTCTAGTCCAGTTACCGCGAGTCCTCCTCCTCCTCCTCCTCTAAGCCCTGAGCCCTGTCTTCACTGTCCTTGGGCCTGGTGGCTTTCTGGTCTTCCGAGCTACCCCCAGAGTCGGCCTTCAAGCTCTCCCTAATACAATCTAAAGCATTTCCAGTTTGCACTGCTAAACACCTAAATCCTCCCACCAATTCAAGAAGCTCCAAAGCCTTCTGAACCACACGGTCAGGTTAGGCACGGCAGTGGTGACCTTCTTGGTACCAATTTCTGTTAAGGCAGCTCTTTCACAGCCGTGACTAAAGCCCTGACCAGAACAATTTTAGAGGAGGAAAAGTTTATTTGGGGGCTCACATTTTCAGCAATCTCAGTCCATAGACTGAGCTCCATTCCTCAGGGCTTGAGGGGAGGCTGAACATCCTGGTGGGAGAGTGTGGCAGAGGGAGGCGGCTCACGTGATGGTCAGACAGCAGAGCGGATCCACTCCCCAGATACAGAACACAGCCC